TCCGGCATTCAAATTCTACGACATCGATCCGGACACATTCGAGGTGATGGATTCGAAGGTGATCTTTAGTGAGTCGTGTTCATCCGCTCGTTTCAACGTTAGGTTTACTTGGATGGTAGCGAACATCTCGGACCCGACCTTCCAAATTAGCCGTAAGCAGCTACATACATTGATTTCCCAAAGCTAAGTCGGCCGAACAGCAACATGGGGGTTGTATTACAGTGCGCGCGAGACGTATGGGCCCCTAGTCGGACTCTCACCCAAGGAACCCCTGTCGCCCGCCTTCTGGCACAATCTCACCGAGGTCTTCGAGACGAACAATACCGCTTTCCAGTTTTTCAACACCGCAATTTCAAGAGGCGGTTGAGATAATTTCACCCAAAATCTTCTGCGATAATTTGATACTGTTTACAGGAGCGGTCACCGAATGTGATGGTGACTGCGTTAATACGACGATCTGCGACATGCGCGCATTCCGGTCCGAGAATAACTGCGTAAGTTGGCGGTGCCCACGCGATTTGAAATTGAACTGACTCGTTTACTACAGGATACTCCAACTCCTGGATTCCAGCTGAGGAAAAGAGCGGCTGCGTCCCACGATTCAGACGAGTGTGAGGGCATCGGTCTTTCGCACATCCTGTCCCGGATGGTGTTGGCTGCATAAAGCGAAACTCGAGCTAATTTCTTTCCTGGTTTGAGACTGTCAATGTATCATTTTTTTTGCCCCGAAGGGTGGAATGTATGCTAGTTCAATTCTGTTCAAAGCTTTCCGAGTAGGCCGAACAGATTGAAACTCAAGCACAGCCGAGTACCCTTTCCAACTGAAGAGCATTAGAATGATCTGAACCATACTCGTGTTGATCGCGAGCGCCGCTTCAAGTTGATCATTTTTGCATGACAGCTGCGGCGGCGGTCTGGAGATCAATTTGGACCTACATTTTGTCCCGTCCGCCAAAAATCCACACCCCAACCAAACTGTATCATGCTTATAAACCTGAACCTAGGAAGATGAGGTCACAGCTTTACTCTTTGACCTATCTCACCGAAGGAAATAATCTGGCACCATAGTCGTCTATATTGGAATTGTCTGTTCGATCACATTGCCGGAGTCTGCCGAGCTATGCCGGGGGGGAAGCCATCGACAGATCACACTCTCGTTGCCATGGACGATTTGGGCGCGGCCTGGATTTTTTTCCGCCTCTCCCTCCGTCTCACTGAAACTCTGCCGGTGCTGCTTTGCCTGGTACTTGCGGCTCAGGCCCTCTTTGTTGCCTCTTCGTGCTACCAGCCTAGTAAGAGTGACTGCCGTTGTCGCAGATTCAACCACCGTCATTCGCTCTGCCCAGTGCAGAACACGGTCGATTGTCCATCCTGTCTTGGCCTTCTTACCTCGCTCAAGTTGGTCGCACGAAGCGGGAACGATGCTCTCATAACCCAGCTGGCTGCCCTCTGCATTCAATTGGGAGTGAGTTTTAACTTCAACTTTTTCGTTTCCGTTGCTGTCGAACGGAGCCCTCTGCTCACGTTATGAGCGCGTTGCAAAGGCATCAGCAAACCCTGGTTTGTGCTGTAGAAAGGGTACCCTCTATGTAGTACTATGTAGCACTGTGTACTACTATGTAGCGCTATGTAGCGCTATGTAGTTCGGTGTCCACTGTGTAGTTCTATGTAGTACTCCACAAGCTATATAGTGCTATACAGTCGCTAACCGGGAAGCGCAACATTTAGTTTGCGCCGCCTATATCTCGTCCATTTCTGGGCCAGATTACGCGCGCCAAAGGGCTAAGTGACTTATAGGGTTATGAATTCCAACCTCCAATTTACTTCTCGGGGTTTGAGCACTTGACGGGCCCATACGGCGTCGATCTTTCCGGGAGGCCAAATCTGGCCAAATAACGTGGAAGCGCAACAAGTTATGATCGATAGTTGAGGCCAATGCAGTACATATTTTCGGCCAAGAAAATTCATGAGCATTATCACCAACTCCAAAAAAAAAATTACGCACTCAAAGTTGTATATTTCTGGCTTCTAGCACTCGGACGCCATCACCGCAATTCGTGCTTGTCAGATGGTCAATTTTACATGGCTCGTTATGGAGCTATACTTGGGTTGCTTGGCTAGATATTATTTATGCCATGCGGTGCGATGCCCTACTACGTCCTCGGGAGTTTTCAGCCCAGCGGCACCACCAGATGGTGTCAAAGGACTTGAAAAACCTTGAAATCTGACCATTTTCCCCGTATTTGCTCAATAAAACTCGTATTTCTGGGTTGTCGTCAATGTTTTGACCCTTGGGATGTGTCCTATCGTGCTCAGCGACCTCGAAAACAGGGGTATACGGTCCGAGGACAGTTCAGCCGTGCTTGTAAGCTGATTGTTTGGCGATATTGCGCTATGTGGTGTTGTTGCGCTTCCCGGTTAACGACTGTATAGTGCTATGTAGTACTACATAGAGGGCACCCTTTCTACAGCAAAAACCAGGGTTTGCTGATGAGCCTTTCGGCGGGAGAACATGTGGTGTTTATTTGACAGCAGCGCCTCGCCCAAAACGGGAACAGCGCCATCGCCTAGTATACGTCGGGGTCGGCAGCCTCAGCGAGCGTGTGCGTTTCCAAGACACCAACGGCATTCACTGTGAAGTTCCCGAAACCCGCGCCGGTCCATCCGAAGTTTTCCAGTTCCGGCGGCCGTGCTCCGTTACGGGTTGTGCATCTCCTCAATATATTGTAGGTTCTACGTTATCCGAGGAAAATATTACCTGACGCTGTTGACAGCCTGGTTCCGAGGCGAACCGCACAAAACCTACCTGCTGTAGGGAATTTGCTGATTCACCGACGGTGCCCACTCTTCCGGCAGGCCCGAATGGAAATTCGCATTGTGACTCTCCGGTCCCCCTCGCAGAATCTATGCTCGCAGCTATCGAGAGTCTGGAGCCAACATTTTCGATATTCATCGGCAATGGTTAGGAATTTCATGATTCACTACTATTCTTGACCACGACGCGTTCAGTTTCTGGCTATATGATAACGATGTCTTCCAGTACGTCTCGCTCCGCAGGGGCCCGCCTTCACTCTGAACAGTATGGCATGATGAATACTAGAACGGAGCAAGTACTGATGTGCGAAGTACAAGTGGAACCCAGCGTTCAAGGTATATGATATAGATCCAGACACTTTTAAAGTCATGGATTCCAGCGTATTCTTCAGTGCGTGTTACGGAGATTATGGCTTCCCCATATATTGAAGTCAACGCGTCGGATACCGACTTCCATGTCAACCATAAGTCAACTTTCGTCTCTATCCGTAGCTCCGAATCCTGAAGGTTCAACAGCGCAGTGGAGTCTCCACTACAGCGCCCGGAAACATAGGGACCACTCATCAGACTATCGCCCCAGGAGCTACTCTCGCCTGCCTTCTGGTACAATCTCACCGAGCGAGTTTGAGGCGTATAATGCGTGGATGCAAGAACACCACAATCTGCGACCTCCGCGCGTTCCGATGAGTTTACTTCTCGCGTTCGGGGGGAAACTTATACATCTGTAGGACACATCGACGCAGCGTTCCTCTTTGCGCCGAAGGACTCGAGGGGTCACACGATTCCGACGCCTGCGAGGGTGCGGGCATCGCGCAGGTCTTTTCGAACATGGTATCCACTTTGGGGTGTTAATTATTCGAGCAAAGCGCCAATAATTCTTGAACATGTCTGTGCAACTGTGGGAATACCGGGATCGATGCATTGGACCATTGACCAAGTCTAGTTTCAAACCAAAAATCTTTTGTCCTCGAAATTTTATCGTCCTAGTTTGATCTGAACGTTGGGAAACTTGAGCTCCCTCCCAGCTTGAACCAAACGATAATGCTCCGCTCGACGAGTTTGATCAAGTTCTACTTACGGTGCGAGCGCGGCTCGGTGATTGAGCGGCCCGGTTTCCACCCTTCAATGTCTTCTCCTACTACAATCGTTCTCATCACTGGTGCGAACAAAGGCATTGGCTTTGCCATCGCAGGACTGCTCGCCAAAGAGCACGACGGATACCATATTCTGTTGGGCAGCAGAAATTCAGAGAGGGGCAGAAAAGCGGCCGAGTCTTTGCAGCGCGAGGGCCTCTCGGTGGAGGCACTCACAATCGATGTCACCGCCGACGAATCCATCGCGGCCGCGGTCCGTACCGTAGAGCTCAAATTCGGGCGGCTCGATGTTCTCATCAACAACGCCGGTGTAGCGCTGGACATTGGGAAAGATATTGTCACCACTCGTGCCATGTTCGAGGAGACATTCGCGACGAACCTGTTCGGGCCAGCGGCCGTCACTGAGGCGTTTATCCCCCTCCTCGAACAATCTACTGCCGCGCGGATCGTGTTCGTGACCTCGGACCTCGCCTCCTTAACGATGCGTGCGGACCCACAAGGGCGGGACAACCACGTCGCGGCGCCTGCGTATCGCTCTAGCAAGAGTGCGCTAAACATGCTTGCCCTCGGGTATGCGCACCGCTTCAGAGACCGGGGATGGAAAGTTAATATGGATAATCCGGGGTTCACCCCGACGGACATGACCGGAGGCCGTGGTACCAGAACGTTGGAAGATAGCGCACGAAATGCAGTGAGGTTGGCGACTTTGGGCCAGGATGGACCAACTGGGACGTATTCGGAGAGGGAAGGACCATTACCTTGGTAGTAGTTTGTGCCCGTATCGACTTAATGCATTTTTCTGGATTTTTCTCCAATTTTACCATCATTGATCTAGCATCAAACGCAGGCAATAATGTTCACCTTTCTCCCCGCGTCAGTTCTAAAGTAAAAAATCTGGAAATTTGGGAGGGTGTAGTCACTGGTGTAGGGATACCCCGTGCGCAATATAAGGCTCAAGGGACCCGATTTGAACGAGTTGCAGGGAATTTAGTCTGCCTTACTGATGGTCGTCAAGCTGGGTGTTCTGAGGGTTTGAAAGAAATCTGAGGAGTTTCAACGCATTGTACGGGTCCGGGGAACTGCAAAAAGGGATGGACACATTGGGAATTGAACCCAACACCTCTCGCAGACCGCTTACGAAGGAATTGGCTAGAATTCCCAATCTGTCCGTGCTAAGCGAGCGTGATAACCAACTACACCATGTGCCCGTTGAATGAGATCGCACCAGGACACCTACGTACAAGGAGCGGTACTATACTGTAATGGTCGTCCGGAAGCAAGAAATGAATTTAAACTCTTTATTGGTTCGTTTGTGTAACACGAACAAACAGGGAGGGGCCAGCAGTGCTCTTACACAGCTGAAGGATACCCTACAGGCAGAGATGAGTGTCCACTATGATCCTACCCGTCACAGAGCCCGGAACCTCTCTCACACAATTTTTTCTTGCCAGCTATATTACACCAAAATAAAGAACCGCGGTAGGATTTAGACATCTATCTCATGACTCCCAAAAGAAATTCTCTGGTCCATTCCCCGTACTGGCGGTAAGGTAGAACTTTGCTTAAAGACTGAACTAGGGTGAGTATTCACTCTGGCAACAAACTTCAAACTGAGGTTGAATTTCCCGATTCCCTCGACCCTGGTGTCTGCGCCCTCAGGGCGAGCAAGGCAATGGGGTAAGTACCTCTGCCAGGGATTCCAGTGGCTGGCAACTGCGAGGGGTCGCTCCGTGCGGCGGAAGGACGGCTGAAAAGGCCATGATATTGACCTATGAGCAACCGAAGCGCTTGGTGGGTGTGAGTATGTATTAGCCTGTCAAGCCTGAGAGACTCTGACCCCGAACTCGCCCTCCAGAAGAGCGTCTCATTGGGCGTAGTACGGTGGACAAGAGTCAATATCGCCAAAGTATCTCTTCAACCCTGTTCGCTCAGGCTCGCTGTCCGAGGCACCTGCGAAAGCAAATCGGTCTTGTTTGGCGGTTTCCCGTCATTGGCCACTTCTCAATTCTTGCTCTCAGAAGCGGAACTCCTACTACGAAGTCATCCACATTAATTTTCATTCCGCAGCACGGGGAAGAGAATCACACATTTTGACGAGTGCCAAAATAAAACAGCTGCAGGCTTGAGCTTAGCTCACTCACCAGGACGATCGAAACGCGAAGAGTCAGACATTAGGGCTCACACAACTGGCCCTGTGGGTGAGGTCAAAGGGCCACAGCGCGGCCGAAGAAGTCGACAGAGAACCCAGAGTGGCTTGTGGAAGACCCAACACCCTTCAGAATTATAGTCAACACTTGCATTGGGAAGGTGCCATTTTGCGTTCACATACCTGTTCTACATGAGTATACAGCGGACAAAGTAAACAAGGGACAAAGAGACGTGCCTGAGGATGCCACGGAAGACGTTTGGAAGAGAGTAAACGTGTTCTCGACCGTGGGCACGCAGGAAACTTACTTGATCCGCAAAGGGCTACTTTTCATGGTGCAAAAGGTAGCAACGAAGGACGATTCCAACCGAAGTCGTCAGCTCTAGGTAAGTCTAAACAGGAGATCCGATGACTAGGTAGAGGGGATGCCGACGGACCGAGAAAGATGAGAGGAAGTACACGTCGCGGTCTGTTAAGAAAGGCAAACAAAATTAGTTTCTGAATCCAAGAAATTGCCGCCCCTCGCGTCATAGAGACCGAACCGGAGCACGAGTGTCGAACACCTACATTGAAGGAAAGTGGCCACGGCGTGCTATGGTAAGTTGACAAATTCAGCAGAGACACCGCGCTATGAGTGGGAGGAAAAACCCAGGCGAGTTAGACAGATAGCGCAGCGCCTCGCACTTCAAGCCTAGTGATGCTTCAGGCCCGGCTCGGCCTGGAAGCCTGGGCTTGGGCCCGGGCTTGCGAGGCAAAGTCAAAGAGCCATGCAGGCTTACTATTGCGCAGTTTATGAGATCGTTAAGGTTAATGTAGCACTCTAAATCATATTTACATCCCTGCTCAGGACGTTTTCAGGCATTTCCAACTATGTTTCCCTTTTTGGCCATTCCGAATTGGTCTTCGCACCCAGTTCCGACGCATGATTTGACCCTAAAGGTGTTTGCTGTATTTCTCGTAGCAAGTGGGCCTTCAAGCAAAGAAATTTCCGTCTCTGAACCCGAAGCAAGCTCACCGTTATAGGTGATACTCAGGCCCGCCGTCGGGCCCGGCCGGGCTTGGGCTTCATCGGACCTGGCCTGGCGGGCTTCGGGCTTGAAGCCGGCCCCTGAGCATCATTATTTAGGGCTGCCGCCCGTTGACTCGTATTTTTGAGCTCCGACGGTACGGTACGGTCAACGGGACGGCCGTCGCGGCCGTGGCAACGGCCGTACCAGTCTGAAATTTCTTTAGTGTTTTGTTTGAGGGTAATGTGGCTCGACATGATCTATTTGAGTGCTGTAAAACCCACTGGGACACTTAGTAGTTATTTACACCTCCCCGGCCTTGATGAATGCACCAAACAATTTTTGTGAGTCAAAATACCAGGTCTTCCCAAAGTGGAACAATAGTTCGGCAGTCTCGGCTGAGTGCAGCACATTCTCCGATGGGTTAAGCAGTCCTGAAAGGGCTCGAAATGAGTTGTAAATGGACGAAAGTGAGCCAATAAAGCACAAATAACAGTATTTTTAGCCAATTATTGTGGCACACCCGTGTGCCGTCGACTTGCCGTTCCGGCCCGTCGTTCAACGGGCCGTTTTTGAGGGTGCGAGATTGCCGACGGAACGGGCACGGCACCCGTTTGACGGGTGCCGTCGAACCGTCGCAACGGCAACGGGCGGCAGCCCTATTGACACTATTCAAGCCTCAAGGCCCAAACTGCCAGATCCGAACTTTGTCGTGCAGGGAATCGTTCACCAGTCAAAAGGCTCGGATAGTCCCAGGTCACATGCGAGGCGGATATGGTAGTAAGGTTGAGAAAGCGCTGTGATGGCCGGGCTGTATTTGTTTGCGTATTTTTGGTCACATCTCCCACGGTCACGTTCTTCCAAACAACCACGTCTCTTGTCTTCCCGCCATCGACGACCCTGACTGGCGGTTCACCCACGTCCGTCCAAGCGTGCGCGTGAGACTTGTAGACCACCATGACTCGACACTAGCTTCCACGGACCTTTAGTGCCGACAGCTGACAAGGTTTGCCCGCTACAAAGGGATTACCGGATTCGGAGGTTTCGCCACGGTTTCAAGGCAGGGTTTCCATTTCGCTCGCCCTGGTTCTTCAAGTTTTGCTGACTTCGAGAAGCGACGTCGGAAAGGAAACAGTCGCCGGGCGATTCCTTGTCGCGAACCGAACCGCGCCAGCTATCATTGGCGTTCATCGGAAAAAAGGCTGGCTTACGTGCTTATAGAAAAGTAAATATTAACAGCATTGTCGATTTGCAGTTTCACGTACGACCCAAATTCTACAGCAGATGCCATGGTGCCTTGAATTCTTTGGCCGTTTCCCTTTCACCTACACTTTCATAAATTAATATCATTGAACCAGGTCCGCGCAGTAATAACCAGCGACCATCCATACGCCCCGAATTGCCATGACCACGTGTACGCGCATTCATCTCATTTCGCCGTCGGTCCCATGCGAGTCATATCACACTTCCACATCTGTCATGAATGGATTTCATTTTATTATGGGGCAAGGTCAGTGCGGGGACCGACACACCCACGGAAGACAGACTGCCCGAGATCTTTACTCGACACCCACGATGTTCGTCGATGCCCCGAAGACCGGCTCCTCCTGGCGAAGACATTTACGGCGTCGATGCTTCCTCTGACCGAGTGTTTGGTCAGTCCCCAACGCGAATCTTCGAATATTCTGCTTGCGTTGGTCCCCAATTGACTACTGTTCAGGCCTCCAAGATTTAACGAGGATGACGATACTTATCGCCTCGAGGCCGCATCCATCACATCTCCTCGTGTCATTAATGATCTCTCCATTCCTCGGGTAGAGGAGACTTCCACTTGTCGCCAGGGAGGTAACTGCTGATATCTAGCTCTCTACGGAATGTCCACACGTGGGTGATCTCCGCTCTGGAGAACGCTCATCGGGTGAACCAGCGAACCATCTTGGCTGGGGTACGTCCGGCGAACGGTTTGATTTAGTTCTAGCTCAAATATCTACTTATTTCTCAATTCAACCCAGTCTTCGGGTATACTTGTGGTCTCTTGGCGAACAGTTATAATTCGATACGGCCGCCGACTTGGAGACGTCTCTGGGGTAATTGGTGCAAATTCGCTCTATCAGCTCAAAATAACTGTTCCGACCACCTGGCACACCGGCATGGAACAATGCAAGTTTTCGCTTTACTCAGCGACGCCACTCGACGCATCCCCTAATCTCGCGGGAAGGTATCTGCGTTTGGCGAGAGAGGTACAGCAGCTACAGCACTTGATTAAATCGCTCCCCATTCTGACGGCGCCATACAGATGCTAATGCCGCAGATACAGACGCGGTAAGTAAGGCTTTCATCTCTCCCTCCCACCTCCCTCCGACGTGGACGTGCACTAGACAATATTTTCACTCCGTTTGCGTCTGCCGCAGATCCTCCAGTATCACACTAGTCTTGAAGGGGCCCAAATTCCTTTCTCAAGTGGCGCATCGTCGGGATTTGCCGGACGGAAACCGACCCTCGGGTACTTTTTCGAAGCTATACTCCACAACGCACGCACTGGGCTATGTTGGACCTGCTTTCTTCCCCTCTTCCCCGAAGGCCCACGACAGGGAAAATACGAAGACTTGAGTATCTCTGCAGAGGTTTGTGCGATATCATTCGTGGCGCCGCAAACGGACCATGTTGCGTTGGACCGTCAATACGGCTGGGTGAGAGGGATGTAAGGTTTTGGCGGAATGATAATCATCGAGGGTTCATTTTCGGGCGTAGTTGCTGAACTCCCCGTATGCAATCAAGTTGGGCCCCAGATACGGTCATAACACGTCGGAAATGCATCCCTCCCCCGATCTCTGCATTTCATCGGGCAAATATGCATCGCTGATGTATGGTGCCTGCGATTTCAGCCACTCACATCTTCGGCGCAACCTCGGCGGCACTTTTGGTCTTGCACACGACATCACACTCCGCAGGAAATAAATTTCGACCGCCCTTTTGTCTCGTCTTACGCACCAGAACGGGTGAAACTATTCCCTGGGAAAGGAATCTGGAGGTGCGCGCGCAAAATTGAAGAACG